AGAATGCCCTGTCCTGGTGCCTACTTTTTGCACTGATGTTGACCCAGTAGCTCCAAGATGGTACGTTTCTCTGTACATTAAAATTGCTTTAATCCCAGATTTTCCCAGTATATCTTGGCTGCAAAATGAACAGAAAGGTCTACTTACCTTGCTTTAATTGCTCTTCTAAGACTACAGAGTGAAGCTGTTTAAGGGTCTTCATTGCAATTTCTTTGAGCAGTCTTCTCTAGGGTAATGATAGAAAATCTTATTCACAGTGAAGAACCTTTTACCTTAGCCATATTGGGCACTGAATTTCCCATACTGATGTACCTGTGTGGTCATAATCAGGTTTTTCAAATTTGGAACCCACATATTTTTCACAGGTTCAGATTGTTCCAGTTCTTCAGAGTTTGACACAGTATTAGAGGGGAATATTTTCAATGACAATTTTTTAGAGATTTGAGATAGCCAGTATTTTGGTAAACTTACAAACTTTGAATTTACATGAGGAATACAGTTGGAACTACTAGTTAAGCTCTAGCTCAAATGTTATTTTGGCCCCAGTCTGAAGAAAAACAGATCTTCATAATCCTCCAGAAAACAAATCTTTTTTAAGAAGTGCTTTTTTGTGCCTTATACAGTATATTAAGCAAAGAAGGTGGAACCCAGCAACCCAGCCTTTTAGGACCCTAGAGTATAGATGTAACTTTAGGTGAACGTGTCACATGAGAACAGTTCTTAAATCTGCTTCTCAGCCCAGCATTTCTGATGCCTGTTTCCTGTGCTTCTCCTGGCTCTGTCTGTCCTCCTTACCCAGGAGAGCATCTGGCACCGTTTAGCCCTCAGTACATGTTTGCAGAAAGAGTGAAGGATGTCCTGAACTCCCAGTAATTTTCCCAAAGTGCTCGATAGATATTCAAAGAAACAATGTGCGCTGAAACAACTGTTAATATGTTAAAAGCCCATCTTTAGTAAATATAACTGAAGTGTTTCTTTAAAAATGTAATGCTCTCAGAACGTCCTCAGATTCATTTGCTATAAAGTGGGAATAACTGTTTGCAACGTTAAGAAGGAGCTTGTTGAGAAAGGTCCCTTTGGGTTCTCTGGGAAGAGGGCATGCCAGGACAGAACCTTGTACTGACCTTCATGAATTCTTGATGACAGCACAGTCACTCCTGACTCCATGTGTTCAATCCCATTTGTCACTGTTGTTAAATAGTCCCACACTTTTACTTTTCAGGTGTGTTTTTGGCAGAGACGGAGGAGGTGGACACTCTGGATACTTGTTGGGTTCATGGCGTGGAAAGGTCAGGAATAGGCCTATTTGTAGAAGACAGGCTGACAGTGGATCCCATGAGCGAAGGGAATTACCTGTTATTCAGCTTACCACATACATCACAACAGCTTTGTCAGGGAAAGTGTGTTCTGAACAAAGGAATCACACATGCGAGGGGATGCGATGGGTTTGAGGGGAAACTCTCTACTAAAGCACCTCATGAGACTGGGGCCGCCCTGCAAGCAGGAGCACCCTCCTTGAAAAACCAAACAACCCTGAGTGCAGCAGGTCCCTCAGAGCATTTCTTCCAGCTCATTTAAAGCTCTTCTTGGTTCACCAAAAGGCAGGAATGTCATAGGGATTAATGACTTAACTTCATTCACTTGTTCACTTTTGAAATGGGCCCTGTTGTTCAGTAATTTCCTGTTATCAGCCATGTAAGATTTAATTTTTTTTTCTGTGTACTGTACTGGAGTTTTAATCAAATTTCATTAATTATTAACATGAATAATTATGTGAAACATAAGTGGTTTTGTTTATAGTTTAACAATTTTTTTCTGTCTCTGGAAAGGCTACTCTCTAATCTAGAAAATTAATGAAAATTGGATAGAGACGACTTTCTTCATTTTTTTCTCCTTCCTTCTAAAAATAAATAACACTCATTTAGCATACTATGTGCCAGGTACTTATAAGCAATTTTACATGTAGTTTCTAATGTTATCCTCACAGTAGCCCTGAAAGGCAGATGCTATTATTATATGCATTTTTAAAAAATGATAAAATTGAGGCCCAAAGAGGATAAGTAACTTGTCCATGGCCACACATCTAGTAAGTGGTAGAGCTAGAATTCCACTCCAGATAATCTGGCTCCAAAGTCCATTGTTTTTCATCACTTTCTGCATAATTACCCCATTTACTGTAATTACCTCTTATAAAATACTGTTAATTTGCCATGAGCTTTTTATTCAGAATTCATGATTTGATCAACTTGAATTGATTTCAGAGTATCACTAACATGTTGTTCAGTTGCTAAGTCATGTCTGATTTTTTGTGACCCCATGAAATGCAGCATGCCAGGCTTCCTTTTCCTTCACTATCTCCGGGAGTTTGCTCAAACTCATGTCCATTGAGTCAGTGATGCTATATAATCATCTCATCCTCTGCTACCCACTTCTCCTCCTGCCTTCAATCTTTCCCAGCTTCAGGGTCTTTTCCAATGAGCTGGCTCTTCACATCAGGTGGCCAGAGTATTGGAGCTTCAGCCTCAGTCCTTCTAATGAATGAATATTCAGGGTTGATTTCCTTTAGGATTGACTGGTTGGTGCTTTTTAAAAAATTAAATAGTTATGCAGTTTTTCCCTTTATTCAGTTCTGATCCTTGCTGTTAAGCTCTCATTATAGATGCTAATTATATTATAGAACTTGGCAAATATCTGCTTGTTCTGGATCTTAGGCAAAGTATGAAAATCTAACTTTTTATTTTATATACTTCTGAAAGGAGGCCAGTTGAACAGTTTTCAAACATTTGCAAATTCTAATATTTTAGTATAGTATTTCATTTATTTAGTATAATATTTATAGTATACTATTTTTAAAATCCTCTAACAATGAATATCATAAAAATACATAAGTTCATATCTAGCATCCATATTTTTTGTGTACACTCACCCATATCCACACCCAACCACCACCAAAAAAAAGATTCAGCATTAATCATTGATGTAGGTGTTTTTGTTTTTTTTAAGGTAGTTGTCATAGTAATTAATTTCTAGTCTGGATATCTGTGGATAGTCTGGACTTAGAGTAAATTGGGATCCTCTAAAATGTGAGACTAACTTGGGAAATTTTGATTTTTAATAACTTTCTGTTTTGATGAATGAGCAATGAAAATGGATATTTAACTTCCAATAGCAGTCAAATAGTTATAGGAGAGATTTGCTATATCCAAAATTTTTATTTATTTGTTCATCCATTCATCCATCCAAACAAATAAACAAACTATGACTTACTAGTAAAGTTTGCACCTTATTTGTACTGAGGATTTGCAAATGTTGGTGAATTTTTCAAATGAGGGATTGAAGCACTTGTGGAAAGATCAGCATGTCCCGTGTGGACAGGTGTTGTGTTCACTGCTGTGTCCCCAGGGTCTGGTGTGTGGCCTGCACCATAATAGGTATTCAGCTAACATCAGATTGAATGAACCTGGACACTGAGGTGGACATTTGGGTTGAGTCTATCAAGGGACAGTAGTTGAAGGCCTTTATTTATTAACTCAACAAGTGTCTCTCTCTATATCACCTTATGCTATGGATGTTGTCAGTTCCTGGAGGTATAGGTCTCAGCCAGAACAAATGCTCCTATCAGAGAAGTAGACTTTAGAAAGAAAGGGCAGTTCCCGGTGAGAAATCTGGAGAGATAGCCACAGTTTGGCGAGGTCAGTATGAGCAGAAGGATCATTCTCTCTGCTCTTTCTCTTCATTGTCCACAGGTGGAGACTCAGGAACCAGAGGTAGACATGGTCATAGGAGCCAGCGCAGGCGTATCTTTGCAAGATGGAGAGGGGTCAGGGGTGCCAGGCATTGCCCAGGGTTGAAAAGGATATGGAGTATAAAAACATTCCGTGTTCCCTGGTGGTCCAGTGGTTAAGAATCTGCCGGCCAATACAGGGGACGTGAGTTCAGTTCCTGGTCCAGGAAGATCCCACATGCTGCAGAGCAGCTAAGCCAGTGAGCCACAACTGTTGAGCCTGTGCTCCACAACAGGCGCTTCCCTTATGGCCCAGCTAGTGAAAAATCCACCTGCAGTACAGCAGACCTGGGTTTGATCCCTGGGTTGGGAGCATATTCTGGCCTGGAGAATTACGTGGAGTGTATAGTCTAGGAGGTCGCAAAAAGTCAGATATGACTGAGCGACTTTCACTTTCCATAAGAGTAGCCCCCGCTCGCCACAACTAGAGAAAAGTCTGCACATAACAATGAAGACCCAGCACAGCCAAAAATAAATAAATCTTTAAAAAAAAAAAAAGACCAGAGAGAAAGTCCAGTCTTAAAAGGACCGTGTAGATAAACCAGCATCTTCATTTATATGTGCTGAGAAGTTGGTATACTGTTATATAATTAGATTTAAAGTTTTTATATTTAGATACTTGAAATTTTTTTTTAGTGAAATTATAGGTGAAAGACTTAAGATGTGTTAATGGGAAAGAACATAATCTGTCATGCCTTTAGGCCGCTTTGAGGGAAATGGGACAAGAGTAGGGGTCACATAGGCTGGGTTTGAGTCTTAGCTCCACCGCCTGCTGGCTTAGTATGGTTGAGTACCTTTATTCGACCTTTCCATGCCTCCGTCTCCTCATCCATAAAATGGGTGATGAGGGTTCCTACTCCGTAGATTAACTGAGAGAATACTTTCCTCATAGGATTAAGAAAGAATGAGTGCGTGGAAGGTGCTTTAGCAACAGCCTAGGCCAAATGTTCCATAAATGTTACTATTGGTCTTCATCTTGTTCCTGTCATTGCCAGAATGTTCTCTCCCCTGCTTGTGTCCTTCTCCTAGAACAGCTGGATCTGGGGGGTGGTTGGATATAAGCCAGTTATGACACTGGCTAAAGTGACTCTGAGTCTTGTGTGCCCGTCTCATGACTCTCCTGTTAAAGTAAATGAAGTATCCCCTTTTTATTGTTTTGCTTCCAGGTCTGTCATTTGGTGCAATGAACAAACTAAAGTTGTCATTATTGTTTTAGCTCCATGAAAGCGGCTATGATGCTGGCAAAGCTCTGCAGCGGCTGGTGAAGAAGCCTGTGCCCAAGCTGATTGAGAAGAGCTGGACCGAGGATGAAGTGGTGAGCGGGCGGGAGTCGGCCTTGGGTCTGCTCTGGGGTATGAGGGGCCGCTGGGCCTGCTGCTCACTGTGCCCCCAGGATCCGGTCATGGCTGCATTCTGCCCATGGCATCTGTCAGTCAGGATAAAGAAGCTTTGAACCTCATAATTGTATGGAAAGACTTGAGTTTAGTCAGCATTGGTTTCGTAGAAAATGGGAAAGATTTCCCCAGGTGTCATGGAAAGAGAGAAGAAATTAATAGTTGCTCTTTTAAAAAATTAGTTTGGGTTGGTTGGTTTGTTTGGCTGCAGGCTAGCTTTTGATACCTCCTTCTGTTAAGACTCAGTCATCTTAGAACCAGTTGATACTCTCTTTAGATTAGGGCTGCACCTTGTTTTTGTTGTGAAGTCTGGTAGGGTCTCTAACCTGCAAAAGGACAGTAATCAAGAGCAGGAAACACAGACTTTAAATCAATATCGGATCTTTCATATTCTGTTACTGCAGCCTATTAAAGAAGGTGGGAAGATAGAAATGTACCCAGTAGTACATGTTTTCAAACTCATGGATTTTATCCCAGCAGAAAGAGTTCTACTAGAGCTCTCCATCCCCCACCTTGTGACTTTGGGGAGAAGAATTGCTCCACAAGGCGGGGAGATTTCTTGTGCTTTTGCAAATACAGTCTTCAGTATGAGCATCACCACTTGACATTTTCCCTTGAGGCTGACCGAGATTAAGATGAGAGCTGGCACTGATACACATATTGATTGATTGTGAGTTCCTTGCCTGTATTTAAAAATAGCCTAAGGGAGAGTGTTTAGAAGTTGTATGGCTTTCCTGGTCCCGCTAGATCATGTTTCCAGCAGTATTTATCAAGTGCTTGTTATATGCCAGGTGCTGTGTTAGGCACCATCAGGGGAAACACAGGGCCCCACCTCAAGAGGGGAGACCACCTGTAAATCAGTGTGTGCTGAGGAAAACAGTGAGCAGGGGGTGGGGGTGAACCGGGAAGGGGCCTAGCTTCTGTGAAGAGGGAAGCCTTTTGTATATTGAGGGCCCTAAGGTGAAAGCACGCCTGACATTTAGAGGAATATGCAGGAATATGTCTGATGGGAGAGCAGCAGGAGAGGTGGGGGGCAGGGAGGGTCCCCCAGAGGACAGGTTGGGTGGCCTGTGGACCCGTGTTCAGAGTCTTGCTGTTTGCTCTGCATGAGTGGCTTCCGAGCACAGGGACTCCATCTGCCAGTGGCTCTCTGTCTGCTGCTTCAAGCAAGAGTGGCTTCAGGGCTATGTGAGAGCCTAGGCCCGGGACTGGTGACCCAGCGGCACAGCAGTGGGTGGTGGTAAGAAGTGGTGAAATCCTGGGTGTGAGCCCAGGAAGGTTATCCGTGGCATGCTGTGGATGTGGGCAGCAGGGGTTGAGACGAGTGAGGGAAAAATCAGGAGGCAGCAAGGAGGGGTTGAGATGCTGAGATGGTCCTTGAAGCTTCTGTAAGAGAGCGCCAGCCTTCCCAGCGGTCCCTCAGTTCGTCAGAGTGTTGGTGAAGTCGATGTCACAGCTTTGAAATGGAGAATGTGAAAGTTTACCCAATTAGTAAAAAGATGCAGATAACTCAAACTTTTGTCCTTGAGACAGTGGCCAAAGTAAAAATGTTAAACTCAACAGTGTTGAAAAGTCACATATTAAAAAACTAAAAATAGAGTTGCCATATGATCCAGCCATCCCATTTCTGGGCATATATCCAGAGAAAACTCTAATTTGAAAAGATACATGCACCACTGTTCTCAATAGTCAAGACACAGAAGCAACCTAAATGCCCATAGACAGATGAGTGGATAAAGAAGGTGTGTGTGTGTACATAAAATGGAATATTACTCAGCCTAAAGAAAGAATGAAATAATGCCATTTGCAGCAACATGGATGGGCCTAGAGATTATCATACTAAGGGAAGTAAGTCAGAGAAAGACAAATATATGATATCACTTATAGGTGAAGTCTGATATGACACAGGTGAACTTATTTATGAAACAGAAACAGATTCATAGATATAGAAGGCAAACTTACAGTTACCAAAGGGGGAACATGGCATGGAGGAGGGATAAATTAGGTGTTTGGAATTAATAGACACAAACTACTCTGTATAAAGAAGATGAACAACAACAAATAAAACCTCTATATTGAATATAGTTCCCTGTGCTGTACAGAGAACTTATATTCAGTATGCTGTGATAAACCATAATGAGTATGATATGAAAGTGATATGGTTTGTGATAAATTGTAACAAGTATGAAGAGAGTATGAAAAAATATTTGTGTTTCTATTACTGAATCACTGCTGTACAGAAATTAACACAACATTTTAAATCAAGTATACTTCAGTTTTTTAAAAAAAGTCATGGATGTTGTTTCCCACTGTAGACCTATTTATGTGAGAAGAAGTAAGAGATTTGATGGGTAAAAATGTTAAATTCTACACAAAGCCTTTGTGGAAGACAGACATAAGGAGATGAAAAGGCTGGGACAGTCGTGGACATGTCTCACCCTAGGGCCTGCCCTCATGGATGTCCCCTGACAGCTGCTTTCCAGACTCAGGCTCCTCACTTGGTCTGGTCTCTCCTTTCCTTCCACCTTCATGTGCCCACCCCCGCCCCGCCATCATCCCTCTCTTTTCACTCCTGCCTCCCCATCCCCTTTCTCTTTCCCCCTCCATTCACTCCTCTGTTGACCTTTCATTCCCTCTGGGCCTTTTACATTCCTGCTGAGAAGAGCTGGCTTCCTTCCCCGACAGCATTTGCTTATATCAGACACAGTGTGGGCAGTGTCCCCTCTGCTGCCTCTTGGGGACTTGGAGCAAATGGTAGGGTGAAGGGTGGTCGGGAACCTGACACATGGGGAAAAGCCCATCTTAATTCTGAAAAGTGTAGCAGGACTCCAGAGTGCCACTCATTCCCAGCCCGGGATAATCATCTCTAATCGCATACATCCTCGTCAGTCTGGGCTCATTTTTACCATGTTTGTTTTAGTGCAAGTTTTAAGAAATGTTTTGGCAGTCATCCAGCCCTTGCAGAGCCCAGGGATCAAATGGTTCCCTTACTCAAAGGAAGTTAAGTTCACTTTCTAAAATCTCAACAGGGAATGAGGGAGGGTGATTGAGTAATTGATAGGCTGAGGGAAGCCTCACCCGAACTGTCCATATCACCTCTCTGAATTGTTTTATGTGGCAGTAGGGCATATAAACCAGCATTGCTCTTAACCTGGAGCCTGGTTTTAGCTGTGAGTGAATACCTGCTCTGTGCGTGCACCCCTCCTACTGAAATTCCCACATTTTCTCACCCCAGGAATCAGAAGATTTAAGGAAAATAAATGGGCCCCAACTCAAGTAAATACATGGACCTGCCTCTTTTGTCCCTTTCAGTGTTCTGTATACTTTGACACTCTAGTTATGTTTAAATTTCATTGGCTCCAGTATATGAGTTTGACCAGCTGCCAAGCATCTGACCCAACTCCAGCATCGATGCACTTGCTTTCCTTTGCGCAGACATGAATGGAACACCATGTGAGAGGGGTGGCGGGGAGCACCTGCCCTAGGACCCCTGGCTGTGCTGAGAGTGGGAACCTCCTGACCCTGTGGGTCTTCTGCCCTGGGAACAGACACCTCTCTCCCTCTTGCCAACCCAGACCCTAAGGTTCAGCATCAAGGCACTCCCCTGCTGAGCTAGGTCTGCATCCTTTATTGGCTGCTCCTGAGGCCTCTGTGCTGCCATCACCAGCTTTGTTCCTCACGGTGTTTATTTCTGAGTTGATTGTCCTTCTAGTTCGTAGACTTATGAAGAGTGAGGACTTTCTGATGGTGAGAGTAATGCCTCTGCCTTTGAGGCACTTGAGTATTGACAACTCTTTAAGGTGATTGTTTTTAAACTTCATTCTAATTGACACTGTCCTCAATCCAGCATTTAATGGTTAATAATTATGCATCAGCACCAGGAGAAAAACTTTTATATGAATCCAGTGATGCATATAAAAGTAACCTTAAAAGTTTACTTTTGAGAAAAGTTCCCAAATTATGGTTAATACTATCACCAGACCTCTTTTTCCGAGGTCTTTCAGATAACCATTATTTCTTGAGCTCTTAGGCCTCAGAATTAAACAACAGGAGGCCTTTCATTTCGCACTTCCTCTCAGTAATTCCTTAGACACTTGGTGTGTTGTTACAGATATGGTATTTCTTATTGAGGTTGCCTTAGGACTGAGATACTTTAAATTCTATTGAACTGATGCCAGACTTGTGCCAATTTCTGTCAAATTCTAAGCCAGATAGTGACAAAAGAACTCTGTTTTAGAGGAGAGACTGTTGGAAACACCTTGGTAGCTATCTCCTGGGGAAGTCTTTCAGGCTAAATAAACCAGGTCAGATCAGAGGAGCATTTTTGCTTTAATTCATGAAGCTGTTGAACCCCTGACATGGGCAAGGATGGAGCCCACGCCAGTGACTGGCTGCTGCCTTGGAGAGTGATGTTGCTGGTTAACCAGGTTCACTTACAGCATGCTAAAAATATTGTTCCTTTTCAGGAAACCATCCAAATCAGTAGAACTCAGGAAGAGAAAGAGGAGGAAAGTATAGATCAGAACTTAAAAAAAAAACCAAAAACCCTAGATTATTAGGTTTTTAATTAAACATGATGAACACATTTAAATATAACACAAAGGCCCCAGGGCTGAACTGCGCCTAATCGAAACAGATTAAGCCACCCTTCCATGCTCGGGTAGTTATTAATTCTGTTTGTTTATGCATGCAAGCTGAAGGGAGCATTTGCGTCCTTGTGTTGTTGCTTATTGCACTGGGATTCCATTGCTTGCTTGGTGCTGTGCTCTTAATTAGCATTCAGCTGTTGATTATGGAAATACTGGGGGTGCTAATTGAATTCTTTTTAAAATTCAGGGCCTGCATTTTCCTTGTGGAGTTTGGCCTGCCTTGCAAGGTTGTAAGATTGGGTGCCTCACTGAGCTGTGCGTTTCACCCTTTG